GTGGTCGTAGGTGGGATCAGTCGTAGGGAGGGAGTGTGGATGTGAGTGATTTTTCACAGGGAAGTGAGAATTAGTAGGGGAGTGTAGAGAATTCGAAGGAGGAGGTAGCGAATTCTCGAGGGTGGAGAATCAAATCTGAGTGAAATTTAATCGGGGTCTGAGATCGAAGTGTCGAATCTGTGAGCGGGAGCTGAAATCAAAGTGAAGGATCTGAGAGTGGGAGCTGATATCGAAGTGTCAAATCTGTGAGTGGGAGCTGAAATCAAAGTGAAGGATCTGAGAGTGGGAGCTGATATCGAAGTGTCAAATCTGTGAGTGGGAGCTGAAATCAAAGTGAAAGATCTGAGAGTGGGAGCTGATATCGAAGTGTCAAATCTGTGAGTGGGAGCTGAAATCAAAGTGAAATCTGAGACTGAAATCCGACAGTTGTGAACTGAATTTGAAACTGAAATGTGAGAGTTAAATCTGAGAGAGAAATCTGGTGGGATCTGGGGCTGTCGAAGGAAGGTGGCAGTGAGTGTACCTGCTGTGAGGGTGTGGAAGAGGGCAGAGGGGATCGCCGGGCTGAGAGTGAGTTGATCACTAAGAGGAAGAATCGAGCGAAGTGTTGATAATAGAATCGTGTTCCCTGGCTGTGAAGATTGCTGTTAGGAAGAGTATCACATTGTACTGTCGATGTGTCATCTGACTTGTCCGAGGCAGTGTGTCCGAGATGTGACACTCATTCTATGATAAGCTCATAACGACTGTAGTATTGAGAAAGTTGGGTTAGATCTTCATGTTACGATTAGCTTGTCTGCTGCTCTTGTGAAAATAGCAGACAGCAAGTTGTTAGTTTCAGTTCTGGACAACTTGTATGTGGAAGAGCAAGTGTTTATGATCTTGTTGTCTTGAATACACTTAGAACACATGGCTTGAGATCAGAGAAGTTAGATTATGGGAGCTCGACCCCTACCTGGATTACAAACGCTGAAGGGTGGGAAGTTTTGGCTCACAATTGTATCTAGATGTAGTTTTTGTGAATCATGGCTTACGCAAAGTGTTAATCACAGATAGAGTTACTCCATTCACTAATTTATTTTGGAAAAATTTGTTTAGTTTTTTCAAAACAAAACTAGCAATGTCAACGGCCTATCATACTCAAATTGATGTACAAACGGAGAGGGCAAATAGAACCATAGAGTATATGCTACAAGCATTTACATTAGAAGAGCAAGAAGAGTGGGACAAACTTTTGACACTTCTGGAATTTGCATATAACAATTTTTGTTATAATCATTAACAGTCCACTTCATTAACAGAAGTGGACTATTAATGGAGTCCACTTTTGTTAATGTGGACTTCATTAACAGAAGTCCACTTTTGTGGACTTTTGTTAATGAATCCAAAAAAGTCTCCATTTTTTCTTATGTATGGAGTTCATACTATAACTCCTTCGAGTTTGATAAGACTTTTGAAAGGGGAGAAGTTTTTGATCAAATTTGCAACAGTCAACAAATTTGTGGAGCATATTCACCGAGGACTACATCAGGCCAAGGAAAAGTTGGTGATAGCTCAAAATCGGCAAAAACATCATGCTGATGCGCATCGTAAAGAAGTGGTTTTTGAGATCAAAGATTATGTTTGGTTATCTATAACAAATTTGTCTCTTGTAGGATCATCAAAGTTGAACCCTATGTTCATTTGTTCATTTTTGGTTTTGAAATGTGTTGGTGAAATGTCGTACAACTTGGAACTTCAGTTACATATGAAAATATATCCAGTATTTCATGTGTCACGATTGCAAAAACATATATAACGACCAAAACAACTCATCAACCAACCAGCAACACCAACTCTTTCAACCTTCATAACAGATCAGGAGGAGTTTGAGATAGAAAAGATAGTCAAGAAACGTATTCGAAGTCATAAGTATCCCAAAGTATAGGATTTGACACAATGGAAATACTACCATCATATGAACAACTTGGGAACCAGCTAAAAATTTAGCAAATGCACTTTTGATAGTTCAGGAGTTTGAACGTATGTGCAAAGAGTACGTTGCATCTTAAAAGTAAGGAGGTTTGTAACGATCTTTAGTTAGTTACAACTAAAGTAGAGGTTACTCCAAATGTTGATATGGATGTATTAGAGTACATTAGTTGTATCTGCCATGTCAGTGATCTGCGAGCTTTGTAGGTAGAAAGTAGATGTGTTAGTTGACAGTGCCACGTTAGCTATAAGTGTGCTTGTTAGGTAAATATTGAGTGTGTTAGTTAGTGTGATAATTGGGAGCGTCACGTGTACTTGTTAGGGTTATCTGCCACATCATCCATCCACTAGGAGTGGGATGGTTGGCGGAGATAAGATCTTATCTCTTTAAACTTGTTGGTGAGAGCTATATAAAGGAGAGAAGAACCATTGTTGGTATCTCTCAACTTCAGAGTTTACGTTTCTATCTTCTAGTGAACTTTTCTCTAAACCCTAGTGTTACGTATTGTCATGATTTGTTGGATGATTGTTTTGATGTGTGCAAGAGTTAATTTAAATTGGATTAATTCATACTTTCAACCTCTTAACGAGAGAGTAATCATGCTTTTGTTTATTTTTTGGACGGAAAACAATGGAATTTCATCTCGTTGGTAGTGCGACATTTTCTATTATGAGAGATGGCAAACATGAGTTAGTAAAATGTGTTTAGTGAATAATGTTATGATGACATAGATTGTAAAATTGCATATCACATGAAATTTGATGATTCAAATTTGAAGTAATATCTTCAATCAAGTGAAATTGAAGTTACATACCACATGAAATTTGCTGATCCAAATTTGAAGGAGGTTCTTGAATCAAATGATACTGCCATAGTAGTATCGAAAAGCGTATAGTTCAAAATTATTGCAAGTCCTAAAGGCTTTGATAGTATTTTGAAAATTCAAGATTGCATTTGGTATTTGTGCAATGATATTTTTTGTGTTATACTTCATATGAAAAGACATATATTAAAAATAAATCCTTTGCATGCTAAAACTACAAGGTACATTACATATCTCACGATAAAGATTGGAGCAAAAGAATTTTAATAATTGCAGCATCATGTGCCAATCAAACTCACAAATGCTTCAACAATTTTTTTAAAGAAATCTTAATGTACCCATAATCATATCGGTGGATGAAGAGTCAAAAATTTTTTTAAGCATGGATGATAGTATTGAATCATTTATCAAATCGCAAGATCTGAATTGTGGGCATTGCACATGAGAGCAAGCTAAGTCAAGACTTTTAAATGTTAAAATTTCTAAAATATTTAAAAAATAATTGATAGAGATGGCATGTGAAGGTGCAAGATGACGGTTTTATGCAACTCGTATTGAAAATTATGAGGGAACAAAAGGTTGATTAAATCCTCTTGCTAAACAACAATATTGATTTTTACAATATTGGTTTAAACGATGTAAATAGAATGCACACTAGTTGAAAGAACCAAATAATTTAAACTAACATTGATATCATCATAACAAGTTGACGGTGAATGAAAATTATGAAGACAGAACGATAATTGTTGTAAGTTTTCTTCTATACTTTATTTAAGAGTGTAGATTGTTGAGATTGATGCTTGTCATATGGCCATTGAATGAATAGCAATAAAAATAATTTTGAATTCTTATACACAATTGTATATACTAGAAATAAGATTTGTGATTCAATGTAATGAATTCAATCCACATCGGAACCAATCAAATTCCATTTAGTGTTGAAGGATTTTGTGTTTGTAAACATTGATAGATTCCAAAATGGGTAGCGATCTATTAATAATTTATATCATCATGTTAGATTTGTGATTGTTGCATACTTGAATTGTTTGAGAGATGAAATATATCAAAACATGTGATATTTTCCATGTTTTGTAATCTCCTTTCAATATCAATGAATGCCATATCATGAAGGGGTTACAAAGTCGTGAGAATGTATTGTTGAGAGCGTATACGTTTCCATCACTTGTTAGGCTCAATTTATTTAGACAAAAATGTGGAAGTGGAACTACTTATATACTTGATACTTGTGGAATGAAGTACTATTGTGCTTTCTTGATCAAGAAAGTGTTGACAATGTTCTTTACATTTTGTTAATGTTTACTTTATATTAACTTTGTGTCATTATATGCTTTATGATGAAGTTCATATAGATATTTGAAGTTCTTTTAATGCAAGAGAACTTAGTAGTAAATGGTATAAATATAAGGAGTAAAATAGATATCCTGAACATGAAAAAAGGAGTTAATACAACAAAATGATGGGTTAGTTTAGTGGTGTATTGCAATTATAATTCCATTCTCACTAAGCATGGGTGAGTGAAAATGCAGCAGTGTGGCAACGAAAAACTTTTTTGTTTTATGGTGATCATAGAGCGAGGCAGCATCGTCTACGATATCCTAGGTTTACTGTGCGTGGAAGGTCTCTCTTCTTTCAGTGGTTCCACTTTTGAATCCGCACATAGGACACGGGGAAGATACAGTTCAATATTGGAGCGGTCAACGAGGGTGAAATAATAAACAGTGCAGCTTGGAAACATATCATCGGAAGGAAATGATATGCAAAAATATACATTTCCTCTACTCCGAAGTATATCTTTCCACGCTCCAAAGTACACGAATGCCGAGAAAACTACGGTAGACCCCGAGTCTCAGTTGGCTCTGAGTTCACGGAGAGGTGACAAGTGGCGTCTCCGTCAACAACAACGTGCTCCTCAGTGGACAATGGACGGATCGCGTATCACGATGTTCAGAACAGAGAGCATGAGAGATGGAAAACTGGCAGCGTGACGTACAAGGAGCAAGGAGCTCGGAGCTCCTTCCCTCGCGCGAATCCCCAAAATACACGAAGCATGCGGAAGAACATGGCATGACTAGTCCCTAGGGTTCCGTCCGACCGACCGGCGGGCACAGGGCAGCATAAGGCGGGCGACCGGCGCGCCCGGTGGCCGGAAGAGGAGACCCGAGCCAGAAGGAGCGCTTTGGTCGCAGAGATGGACCTCGGACGAGAAAAGCTGAAGAATCTGATGGACGAGGTGGCAATCCAGCATTTCCGATCGGAGAGTGTCGTGGAATACGGCATATGACAGAAAGGGATGTGATGTTGATACACATGTGAAAGGGCCGGAAGTAGATCGAGTGGTTGGACTCTTGCTGTCTGCCCCCGAGTGTGATTGCGCGTCCGAGTATATGCGGGCCTCGTCGCGGAGAAGAAGATTAGGAGGACGAACACCGAAGAAGAAGTTGGACGAGTAGCAGTAGAGGGACGAGCAGGAGGAGGAGTTGCGAGTTGCGGTCACTGAAGAGGGACTGGAGTGGACGGGCGAATGGGTTTTGAAGGACTGTAGACCTCTGGCTAGCTTTTCTGCCAATGTGCGTCGATTCGGTTGAGTGAGGTGTCCAGTAATTGAAAAGGAAGCATTGAGGGTGAGAAATTAGTCCGAGAGGATGTCGTGGATCAGATCTGCGTTCAACAAAGCTGCAGAAGTTGGAGGCAAAAATTTAGGGCCAAATCTGACCAAAACTGTGAAGACCTATGCTGGATCCGTGTATCAGCAAGCAGGTCATGCCGTGGCAGGTGGAGCCAAGATTGTCCAGGACCGTCTGGTACAGAGTCCTCCTTCACCTCACTAGAGCTGAGTTTTACTGTCATTTTCATTTTATCGACTATACAATATAGGAATTTCAAAAGATGAAATGGTTTCCGGATCTTTGCATCAATGCTCTTAATGCTCACGTTCTTTTTCCTCTTTTTCTTCAGTTCCAGTTAATTGACCAATCTTTTTGGTTGTTCAGAGTTTGTCGAACTCTGTATATTTCAGTAGTTTAGAATGATTTGCTTTACCTGGAAGGAACTTGGGCATGTCGACATGAACGTGTTGAATCCTTTGAAGAATTATACAGAATCTACAGACCTTGAGTCCAATGAGCACATTAGAAGGAGCGAAACCCGCCTTCATCAGAGCTATGAGTTTCCTGATAACAGTTTGCATTTTTTTTGGCAGTCCGGACGGAATCTGAATAATTTCAAACATGCTGTGAGGAGACTCGATGAAGTGGCTCTGAGCTCACGCGGTGAAGAGAGGAAGCAAGCTCTTTTAAGATGGCTTGGAGCACTGAAGGATATTGACAAAGAGACCAAGTACCCCTCAAGACCTGGCAGTTTTGGTGGCTCTCACGATGGATCGTTTTCTCCAGGAAATTCCATGGACGGTAGTGAGCCAGGGCTTTCACCAAGGAGGGCATCCATGGTAAGGGCACACATCATCAAAGATTGCTTGCACCCTGTTCCTCAATTCTCACTCGTGCGTTCATGCACAAAATCAACGACCTGGATTATACTTGTACTTGGCACTGGACTCGTGTTTTTTCCAGTCTTTTTAGGCCACCATTCCACGCCTCCCTACTCATCTGCATAATCGCAATTAATCTAATCTTCTCTTAGTTCGCTCCTTGCACTTTGCTTTTGCTACTTCATCCGATGAGTAGGCGTTGCTGATCTGTCATTTGTAGCTAGTATTATGCCTGATGTTCTGGTTTTTATCAGCAGCTTTTTTGCATGTCTGTGATGCCGGCGAATTTTAATACACTAGAATCCTCAACTATTGAGGTTTTCTTATTTCCTTTCACTGTTGTACTATATGTGATCTCACTTTGATAATCAGTAGTTCAAGTTGAGTATGAAAGCTGCTACGTGTTTCTCGGCATTTATTTTACTCCGAGTCGAATAGCGCTTCATACTTTCAAATATGGTAATTTGCAGGTTTTGTTTTATGATTCTGAAACGAGTGGAGAGCCACTCAACTTCAGAGACGTGTTCCTTCGGAGTCACGCCTTGGAAAATATTGTTACCGCCATGGTGAACATCTTGCCCTTGATATTGACTTCGGAGTTAAACTCTCTGTTTCTCGCTATTGTTTTCTCGCATGGATGGTAAATAGCCGAGCCTTAGAAATGCCGTCACTGGCACTGTCATATATTTTGATATGATTTAAAAGTTTATATCTGGCAGCGCAAGCATTTCTTGATTATTTCAGAGTGACCGTTATCGATCATCGTAACGATTCTTGCGAAGTAAACGCTTGTATTCCGCTGATAAAACTTCGTTATCAGAGACTGGATGATAATCGATGTAAATTGCATCTATTCTGTTGTATGTAGATTCTCGAGGCGCCTGAAGAAGGGGAGGTTTCGATGTTGTTAGAAATCTTTGGGTGTGTTTTCTGAAACTATACATTTATGATTAGTTCTGGACCTTCGACATTACTTTATCATATGTTACGTAAATATTTCGCACTTTGTAAAACCAGTGAATCTCGTTGTAAGTTGGGTCGTGTTTGAATTTCATTCTCGTCGTTATGTTCATGCAGGCTATGTCTCAATGGTGGTCAAGAGCTTCATAATGCTATTATCAGTAGCATTCAAGACTTGTCCAAGGCCTCATCCACCTACATGGCTGAAGTACTGGTACGTACTCCCTCTAAGCTCAGACGCTCATTTTGTCACTAACTCTTGATCCTTTTTCCGAGGTTCTTTTAATACCTCACCCTAGAATCATATTCGCATTGTCAGCACCCATAGATACTCTTGATTACTATTGTTTATGTTTCCGTTTGTATTCACTTCTTTCTTCTGCGCACTAGCCCATTGAACTTCCTGCGTGGCAATTCGCATCTTTAGGTAATGTTGGTCCTGACCTCCACGCACTCTCCAAGTTCTGTTAAGAAGGGATTAGCCCTCTGATTTTGTAAACCTTCTCCACCTTCACTAACTGAGATATTGAACATGTGAGCCCGAGTTCATCACATAAATCTGGCTCCTATGGACTGTTACATAAGTTCATGCCGAGTAGTAATGGCTCTTTCAACCAGTTATATTTTACGTCTCATACATACAACAGGATACGCTATCTCTCTTTACTCAACCATATATCAGTTCCTGAGACGTCAAATTTGCATCTTCGTTGCTTCTACTTCTGGTTTTACTTACCTTGTCTCGTCCCCCTCTCGAACAGCACTTTCCACCTGCGAAATGGAAATGTCGTGTCATGTCAAGCTTGCGTGAATTATAGATCTTCGTGCTCGGGTCACTGATATGATCGCTTATGACCTTTGGGTTTACCTGGGTAAAGGAAAGACCAATGTATCAAAAAATACATTCGTCTTTACTTTGCCCGCGTCCTCTATCCCCATCCGTCTATCTATATACCACGAATTGAATAGATTTTGAACGTCTACTTCTCTAGATTTGGTTAGTACGTGCCGCACGTGTTTATTACATAATTTGGTCCTCCGTGATTCGTTTCCTCCACACTTAACTTTTTCCCGTCCCATTCCCCGCGGATTTGACACGCCTTCACATAGTCTTTTGAGCAACGTTTTGTCACTCGCCAGACGTGTTAGGTAGTTTCGTTCCTGTGACTATTGTCTCATTCGCCCAATCCCTCCTCTACTTCAATTGTTATGGTTATGAAAATTTTATCGACTTTGTTACAGTAATTATATAATGCGCTGTCAGTTTGCGTGAGTATAGTCACATTTCATACTCTCTGTTTGTCATTCAAGCTGCGTAGTTATCTGAACCATAATGCCGAAACTTTGTTCATTGAATTGGTATGACATGAAATAATGTTGCGTTCTTGTCGATATCCAGATAAAAAAGGAGGAGTTGCTTCAAATGGTTCGGGATGCTGTTACTGGTTTGAAGCTCAATCCCGAGGTGGAAAGGTATGTTTTCTATTTCCCTAGACGAAAGCAATAAACAGCACCGGAAAGAAATATCCCCTTTAGCTGAAAGCGTGTCACAGAACAGTTTGTCATTGTCGTTTGAACTTATTCAAATCTTACTTTTTGCCCATCTCTCGTATTGTTCCTGAGATGATCGGATAAACCAGCTTTGAGCTTTATCGATCAACTCGTGGCTGTGCAGGTTAGATTCAGAAATTGCGTCTCTGCAAAATCAAATTCTTGAGAAGGGAGGTGCTCTTGGAGTCAATGATGAAAGTGGCATCATGCAACCACCTAGACCTGGTCCGGTGCGATTTCTTGTCCTATCTCTGTATACATATCTTGTTGTTCTGATGGACATATTATTTTCAACATCAATCGATTCTGAGAACAATTTTTAATGAATAAGGTGGTATGCATATGCTCTTTCAAGTGTCGTTTTTATGTTCTCTTCTCTAGTTCCTGAATTTCTTGATTCTGAGAGCATCTTTCGTTGCTTTGCCAGGAAACCAACACTACTGCGGATATTATTCAATTGCAAATACGCCTACGGCTTTGCTTGCAAAAGAAGGCTTCGGCACTGCACCAAGGAGACAGTCCACAAGAACGTTCTCGGAAGGTAAGCAATGTCCTCACAGTACGATTAACAGAACTGGAGTGATTATGCTTTTCATCGGCATGTGACGATGGAGTGATGCCCATCAGGTAGGTTTTGTTTGATGGTCACTCGTTTCTATTCTCGCATTGAGGACCTACACAGTACTTTGTTCTGACTGCGTTTGACTGCGTTTGACTGCGATTGACTCCATGTTTTATTCATGTTTCATTTCTGTTTCTTACTTGTGCATTGGCCCCGATGGATTGTGACGGCCTGCCTGCTTCATTCTTCCGCAATTCGCACACTGTTTTCTGTTTTGTTTACTTTGAATCTGCCGATTCGATGTTTCAGCAGGATGTATGCCATGCATCTGTTCTGGTCTATATAGCTGTTCAACTACAGTGCTTCTAATATACTCCCTGTGGTTGTAATTCCCGTGTCTTTATTCGTTGGTCGCCTTGCGTGTTAAGCCCTTGTGTTACTTCAGTTGTTTCCCTCCTTATTAACTTTTTTTTTTGGTTCCAGGTGGAGAAGTTGAGGCAGCTCTCGGTTGCTCTCAACCAAACTTCCGAGGAGACTGAGAAGCAGATTACCAAGAATCGGTCTGTACTTCCTTTTCGTTCTTTCTGTTATTACTGTCTTGAACTAGTTAGAGCAGATTTGCAAGATAAAACACACATTCAAAACAAAGCCTTACATGCAGTGACAAGTTTCCTTGCTTTTCAAAGGATCTCGTTGATGGGAACCTAATTTCCAATTTTTCTATTCGATGGTACTCTTACACCCATGGTACTCCGTTCTTTCTGTGCAGTCAGCAAAAACTAGATGCCGTAAACTATCGGGCAGCCAAAGCATTGGAAGTGACCGAAGCTGAGAAGGTATGATATCGGAGGCTCATTACATTTTACTTAGAAACTTGAAGCCTCAAAATACTCTTTGCTATCATCCAGACAAGCGAAGGTATTTCGTCAACTTTATCCTGCCTTGGAATGGCAAAAGGACGACTTTGAAGTTTATCTCACTTTTTGATCTTATACCTCCCGTTGACTACATTAGTACATGGAATTTGTTGCGAATTCAGGTGGTGGCTGGTGAGGTTCGTGAATTGGACAAGCGCAGGCAAGCTCTCGAGGCCGAACTGGCGGAAGTGAGTACGCTTAGGCATAATTTAGTCACGTTTAGCCACGCTTTAGTCAAGATCACACAGGATCTGAGATCTCTTGTATTGGGTATTACTTGACACTGAATATGTTGCGAGCTCAATCACGAAGGACGTGAAATGGATGCAACGATAACGATATTGGCAAAAACTAAATTTAACGAATATCAAACGATAGTTGTACCTATGATGGCAGGTAATGTAGCAATTATCATATTTGTGAAGCATACTTTTGTTTCAAAGCTTTTTGGAAAACTTACAAGGCTTTGGGTTTCAGGTGAAGTCAGCCCTAGCAGCGGCTACTGTGCGACACATCAATATTCAGGAAGAGAAAGAACAGTTTGATGTAGCCAGCAGCAATATCGTGGCTCATTTGTCGATTCAGGTTTCTATCTTACACCTGTGTTTTCTGTATGATGTATGTGTCACCTCATGGTTGCTGTTCTGGACCGTGGGTCATGAGAATCTCCTTGAAGTCTGTTTGAAGTCTGTGCTTTGAAGGTCTGTGATGCAATCATATTTCATGTGTGCTCGAGCATTCGATTCACCTTGGCATAATGAAATTGTATTGACGGTTCTTTGAGTGTAAGAAATATGAAGGATCTTAATTTGGAAAGTTAAGATAAGTCTTGGTTCAATCTTTTCAGTACGCACAGTTCCTGGGATTGCGGTCTATGTGGAAGGTTGCCCTAGTATTAAGTTTTCTTCTGTAACCCTTTCTTCTATGAATTTGTGAGGAACTGATTTATGGCAATATATTTTAAGAAGGAAGCTTACGCTATTTTCTTCGGACTCTGTCTAACCAGGAAGAAGAGCTGTCAAAGTCGATCAGTGCATGTAAAACTGAAGCAAGTGTAGCAAGTACCTGGGTAAACTTTCTGGAGGATACCTGGGTATTGCAGTCAGCCTCTATGGAACAGAAGGTCAAGGAGACAGAGTATGTTAAAATAAGTTCTACACTCATCATTCACTTTTTTTTTTGTTGGAGCTCTTTGTGGATGTCATTGTCTTTCTGAATTTTAGAAGTTGAGATCAGTATCGAAAATTACGGGTTGATGTGGATTATAAGAAACCAAGTTTGTTTTTCTTCAAATACCATACTCTTACAGAATGCTTGTTTCCTTGTGTCTATTTTCTGAGTACCCTTTAACGTTGCTGTTTTTGAAGAGTTTCATGGGAGGATTCCAAACATCAGTTTCTTCAGATTGCTGCCATCAACTTGGCGTATCGTCAGGTACATAGAATCTGGACGTAAACTGTTCTTTTCGTTCAGAGCTAAAACTGAGTAGGCATTGCATGTTGACATTCTCATGTGCATCCACGTGTAATATCGTGCAGTGCTTTTCACTTTTCTACACAAGAAAACAATTTGAAGCACTGTCATCGAACGAATATTGTAGTGAACTTCAGCGGCCAAATTTATAGGGTGCCAATAGGGTGCCAATAACAACCAATAATGCAAATGATACACATAATGAAGCAGTAGCTGGTACCTTTTTCGTAGGAAGCTCTTACAGAGCCTGCTTAGGGTAGTTCGGTATTTGACAGGAGTCATGAGTTGAAGAAAATTCTTGAAAGGTTCATTCACGTTCGTTGTCAGAGCTGATGAATTTTTCTTTTGTCCAACAGGAGGAGTTGGTTCTCTTCCTCAAGAGATTGACCTTCTGTGCCGAAGAACTAGAGATTCTGAGACAGAAGAAGTACGTAGCATTATCCCATTGCAGTCTGTGTGGAACCATACAGCTCACCTCTATCATGGCAAACTAGTTACAATGATTGTTGGGCTGAAACACTATTGCACTCTTTTTCCTGGTCTTGAAGTCGCTGTTCACCCTTCACGTTCTCATTGGCTCTTTCTTTGTGCTGAACTGTACTATACTGATCCTGCTTGCGCTGCTTACAGATTTTTGTATTGTATTAGGGTGCAGTAGATCCTCGTTAGTATGTATCCGTCATGAACCCTTCCGTCCTAATATACTTTTATATGGAATCGTTTAATTCCTTCCTGAAAATGTACCTCCCTTTAACCCCACTGTTTCAAATATGTCAGGTGTGAAAATTAGTAGTGAGGGAATTGTCAAAGAAAGCTTCATGAGTAACATCTTTGCATGTATTTTAGCATACCAAAAGGAGAAACAGAATGGGCACAACAGTTGTTCATGATCAATGTCCACCAACCTGAAAAACGAAAGATGTTGACTTTCCCATTTTTGTTTGAATGAGAGCAATAGATTCTGATTACTCTTAATACAGCAAAATCTTATTACCAAAGGATTTCACAAATTTCATCAACAACTAGCAGCAGAGTAAATTAGTTCTTTTCTTGATGAATAAAACTATTTTACTCTGTGTGTGCGACTTACGAGTAAATTTTATCGAGTGGTTTTGATATATATCCATCTCTTTCCAAATTATAACACAAACACATTAGGTTCCTTCTTGATGTGCTTATGACTTTCAGTCACGTAATTGTCTGTCACCAGCAATATCACTTTACAAGTTTCACTGAAAGTTATCGTTTTCTGAGAGACGCTTTGGTTATACTCATTTCTGTTTTGTGACCTGGAAATCCTTAGATCGAATGTGGCAGACCTTGGGATGGAGGGAGTGATTCCTGACATCGTAAGAGCAATCCGAAAAACTCAAGACAGCTACTTGGAGACTGAGAATCAGGTACACATTTGTACCTTATCTCGTTTCTTTCTCCATGTCGGCTATAGTTGTTGTGTTTTCCGTTTTGGAATTATTGTCTTTTCCGTTTAAGTAAGATGTCTGATTTCGTGGGTACTTGCCATGTCGAACCTCTTGTCATATTGCACAAAATTGTATCCAGGTGGAAAAAACTCTGAAGCTCATTGGTCAATTGGAAGAAGAAGTACAAGCATATCAAAAGGACGGAGAGAGGTAAGACTTATAACGCGACTCAAGAGCCGTTTTATTTTGTAAATATTATTTCTCATGCCGTGTTAGCCTCTTGCCTTAACTTGGATTTTGTCTCTGTCGTGTGCTGTTTTACTTCACTAGTGAGAAGAGTGAAGCGGAGGTGAAGCTGAGGAGAGCGTTCGAAGCCGTAGCAAAGTTGGGCCAGGAGTACGAGGCACGACAGAGACCGGAGATGGAAATTGAAAAGAAAGCTATCCAGCAAGGTCGAGCTATGTTAGAGAAGGCGAGAGCACAGGTCATCGAGACTGGAGCGCATATAAAATCAGTTACTTCCAAGAGTAGCACACAAAAAGAATCGAGTGCTCAAGCTTCCCCCAAGGATGAAGTGACAAAATCAATCCCGGAGGTAAAGGAGGCAGTTCCGAACGAAAACACAGATGAGGTGAAGGACGACAAGGACAACAAAGACTCCCTTGAGGTCGAAACAGAGGGATGGGAGTTTGACGAACTTGAGGAAGACATGAGCCCTAAGGAGAAATAAACGCAAGAAAGGCCTGTGTTAATATAAGGAATTCATTTTGTAGACCAGAACCCTGTAAGATGGATTTGGTGATGGTTCTGGTTGAGACATGCTGTTGGTTCAACCAGCTTGTAAAAAGGAGAGAGTGGTGCAGACCTCGTTTTGTTGGAAATATGTGGGCAAATGGAGGTGGGTGTCTAGTGATCCATACTATTTCGTCATTCCCACAACGTCGTGGGTGCGGGCAGGCCCTTTCGGGAGTCCTGGAGTTGCTGGTAGATAGCCCATTAGTTACCTGTAATTACTCTTATTGATATGTAGGTGTTCATAGCCTTGTTCTTAAGGATCTGCATCAGTAGTTGAAAGTGGCTCAACTGTTCCCTTCCTTACCTGATTAAATTCCGTAGAGTGTGAGCAGTTGTGCTATTACTTGAAAGTGTTCGTTGTTCTGGGACATCGATAGAACATAATTCAAGGTCGGAGCAGAGCACATTGTTCTCGGTACCATTATGCCCCGTTAAATAGAATATAGTACCGTTGAAGGTGTGTATGTTGTTCATCTTGTTTGTGGACCAGAACGAGTGAGACTCAATCTTCAAAGACGAAGGTACAGAGAAAGATTCCAACCCATGCCTGAAGGAAGCGTTTCCTCTACTCAGTGGACCAGCTTTTGCGATTTCGACTTATTCCTGGATCGGCCTTTCGTTCTCCATAGTCCCTCGTCATGAAGGCATTCTTTTATAAACAAGTTTTACTTATTCCAAGAAGATTGCTATGAAGCCTTGAACGTTTATTCGTTGATTAGATTCGTTTTGAATAAACGGGCTCTCTGACTTCTTGTTGAAAAGTAGCTGTATTACAACTTGACGTCTCTACTTCAGCCGCGAGGACTGGAGAGAAGATGTCTGCTATGAATTGTACACAAAGATGCTTTCTTTCTTTCTTTTCTTTTGTACGGTCGTCCATGAGCATATATTATTTAACTGGGAGTTTTGTGTGGGTAGTTATGACAATGTAGAAATATGTTCTTGGTGGGGGTAAGTGCAAACTATATTGGACTATACCTTCTCTAGACTTGGCTTGTGAATCATGAAGAATGATGGATCACTCGTTACTCCCAAAAGTCAGTTGTGTAACTATAGTTTACTTTGGCAAGCTACTGGCTTGATGTATAAGGAAGCGAAACCTTCAGTGGACCGCCTCCCATCTCAATCATTCGAACTTGTTTGTTTTTAACTGTTTCGAAACATTCACTTTTGAAGTTATCTTGCAATCTAAATTGTGCTGTCTGTTTTCGAGGAAATGTGCACTTATACTTTGGACTTGATCGTGGTAAATGAGCCAAAGTAGTGTGAATCTTGGAGGATTGCGCCTCATAGGAATTAGACATACAAGATAGTCGTCTTACTTTGTTTGCGTTCCGTCAGACTTGTTCAGATGATGTGGTGTACCCAATATATCACCGTGCCCATCATTTCAATGGGTATGAACGTACATTTGAAGAAACTTGTATTTGAGAAGCGATGGATACCGACTTGTTCGGGACCATATTAGTATTTGGTCTCGGAGGAAAAACACGTCAGAAACCGCCTTAATAACGCACATTATGTTTGCCATGTCACCATTTATGCATGGATTCAAGACTTTCGGACATGTATATACTCTGTCCTGCACAAAAGTTACTATGCCAAAGTTTTCTTAAGATAAAACTTGATCCACAGTGAAACCTTTGAGGATATTTGGCGTCATATATTATTATTCACATTTCATTGATGAATATAGCACATTTTTTTGAAGTGAAGAATTGGATATAAAATGTATAGTAGTTAAAATCATCAAGAGTTCATATGACGTTGGATATTTTTACTCATCATAGTATCAATTTTATACTTCATATATTGATTGTGTATACTCTAATCATTGAAATGATTTTTTCCACCTATTATTGTCAAGAGGATATATTACAATTCTTAACTAGTAAGATTCATTATTTACTGTATGCAATATTATTATAAGAGTTGTTTTACGAATTTAGATACTTGAAATATCTGATATATATATATATATATATATATATCCCTCTCTCGACTAAGGAAAAAATGAGATAAATTATATGCTCTTAATCTTTGAATTTGAAACAAATAGGTTCGTACTAGTTTCCATATAGTCATTCCCATATGGATAGGTTCAAATAGAAATTGATCAACTTTTAGAAATAGAAATAGAAATATATATATACATATACTTCTATTTGGAAAAAATTATTTTTTTATATAGATTCGTTCTACATGTAATGAAATAATTTTTTAAAAGATATATTGTCATAAAATGACATATATTAAAATGAAAATCGGGTTTATCTAATTTTGAAATCTCAGATTTTACATCTTTTTAGTAATAAAGATCTGATGATAAAGAGGATCATGTTTTGTTTAAGATCATTTGCTCAAAATGAAAATTTAATAATTTCTAAATATTATAAAAATATGAAAAATATTGTTGATAATAACTTTGGCGTAGATTTTATTTTCTTAAATTTTAATGGAATAAAAAACGGATGTCTTAGAAGATATATGTTACCAAAAAATATATAAATCATGAATTGAATAATAAAATAAAATCTAAATTTTGTTATTTGCAGTTATAAAATAATTTACATCTAAATATACACACTTTCAAAGATGAAGAAAAATAATTTCGATTCATATATAACATTAAATTGAATTTCTTTTCCAACATCATCATGAACTTAATAATGTGGTGAAAAGTTTGTAACTTTGATGAATATATTTTTGTGTAGAATTCATCATGTTGGTACTTTTTATCAAATCTTTTGTTCAATGAAGTATTAACTTCTGAGACTTATTTTTAATGAAATTCATGTTTGATTCAATCACATTTCAATATAATTGATTTACAAGCTTACCTATTGAACCCAAAATACGAAATAGACAAGAATCATACCAGCCATAAAAACATATATTCTCATCGAAGAATGAAATACTTTGATATAGTTTTCCTCTGTTAAGTTTCAATCACTAAGATTCAATTCAATGCAAGGGTTTCGTAGAAATTGTGAAGTTTTACTTTTAGGAAATTCAAATTGATGTAACTTTCTTGCAGTTTAATAATTTTGTACCCACAAGTAGTCACATAGTGACATATTTGACTATGCTCGTTGAATCTTGAATCTAGTTGGATTCAATCTTTCCCCAATCTTGAACTTCGTGCATCTTCTCCGCTTCAAATTCCTCAAAAGACCGTGAATTCTCAACATTTTCATACTATCTCGCTTCTATCGCCTTCGCTCAAACATGAGGTTGACCTAAATCTCTGCATATCTTATTCTCTTTGCTCATCACCTTCATAAAGCTTCGAAGCCAAATCGTATCAATGAATTGACAAGCTTGAAGAACAAGAGGCCAGGACAAAACAATTCAAAGTTCTAATACCAATTAACATGTTATTTTCACCCCGAGGAAATTCAAACAAGTAAGTCAAACACACGTCAACATGAGAATGCATACAAACAGGCATAGTAAACCATGAACATACGTGGTTTGTAATTGCAATTTAGGTCTTCAAAACACCTCAGTGCTTATTGAAAAATCCCTAAAATGTCACGGAAATTTTTTATGAGCTCTCTAATATAGTGACAATTTAACGAGCTTCGCTAATTGGGTTCAAGCTAACAGGAGTTATCACAAGATCTCTGTTAACTCCTATCAAGAAAAGATCATGCACCACAAGAAAAGTCAAGAAATCACATGCACACACACAAACATACATGGGATATACATGGTCCCCGAAACAAAATATCACTTATCTCTTCAAACCCATAGGAAAATTTGAAAATTTATGCACATATAAGTTCTTTGATAGATTATTTCTGAGTCCTAACATTATAGATGGATTTCAACTTGACTCATTTGGATATGAACACTTGACTGTTTTGACTAACATGTCTAAATATCACAGCTTAGTTAAATCTCATAAAATATACTGTATATGTTCTAAACCCGTGTGTGTCATTCACCTTGAATGCCTTGGATTCGTTAAAGGAGAAATTCTAACTATTTGTTTTCACTTAGGTTATATGACGCTCCTCATATTCTGCACATTTTTTGTGATCTGATTGGCTCTCAATCCATGTCCTTGCTATTTTTAGCTTATAAAAGGTTTGAAATAATGTTTTTTCTAACTCAAGTTATGGTTGAGAGAAATCTTCCACAATTCCAATTCAAATTCTAATACTCAGTGCCATCAGTATCAGATAATAGAAGTGGGAATTACACCTGACCAATGCCAGTTGTTAGACTTTCCAAAGAATTTTGGAATCACGATTTGGAATATTTTAACATGGACAATTCTATAACGCCACCCAAAGAATCTAAACATACTTCCAAAATGTATTAGATAATGTAACGACGAAAGGTATGAACATCCATTCGCACTAACTGTCACCGTGGAGGACATAAACTGTCAGTGCAGTTGAGGATCAGTAGAATCTTTCATCTCGTTCGTCACCATATTTTATCTGTGAATGACTCTCTCTCTCGTCTCTAGTCCATGCCAAGTTAGCTCTTCCTCACCCTCCACTTGGGACCATGCTTCATTCGTCGTTGGCTCGTCGAGGGCACCTTCACGGCGTCCGCCGGATGCGCTACACTTTAGAACGGTAAACTCGCAACACGCTTGAACATGCAATCGAGGTCCATCGCCAGGTCCAGCGAGAGACTCTCATCGACATGGACGAACATGTTCTGGGCCGGGCCACGGGCGTAGACACTGCGAGCGTGTGATTTCACGGGTGTCTTTACGAGTCCGTGCATCCGTGGTTCTGTGGAGAATGCTACCGCGTGCTCTCGAGAACGAACCCACCCATGGCAACTGTGGAGGTTTTAGTCCAAAATCTGTCGTCCAGGGGAGCTCAAGCGCGAAATGTATTGCAGAGTGTCCCTCCCCAGCGTCGCGCGCAATTGCTTTTGCAGAATATGGCCGGTCTCTCGAATCGACTCCTCGAAGTCGCAGGTCTTGCCCTAACGCTCCAAACTTTACAGACCACTAGAGTTTGAGGTCTTGTAAAGGTTGCATTGTGTTCTAGTTTGTGATTCTCTGGTCATCGAGTCCTTCACATTGTGTTCAGCTGAAATGTATGTATCCATATTATTTAGATTCGCAGCCGTGGAGGTAATCGGAGTTGAAGTTTCCGAGAGCGTTGCCTGTCACATTGTCGTCACGCCTAGAAGTGTTTGCAGTGTTCTTGTTATGCAGGTCGTCTGTTGTTCAAAGACCAACTTATTGAGAACTTCTTCACATCAATATGTTTTAGGAAAAAAATTCGGACTTTAGACTAATGGCTTTTCACGACGTATAGTTATGTGTTCTGTCAAGTCGTTGCTAAGCGGAATGAATGAGCGCAAAGGTGCTGAAAGTATACAATCTGAGGCTGTGTAGATTTATGGCCAGTCAGGTAGAGGGATACTGGACGAGCCATGATCAGGAAAAGAGCTCTCAAGTAGACTGAATGAGGTCGTCGAAAATTTCACAGCTTTGAAAAGAGCAGCAGAGTAGAAAAGAGCAAATAGATTAAACAGCAACGTGAGTGCATACTGTAAACCCACATATAATTTGTACTCATGTTTATCAGCCATATTTTAATGTGTCCTGGTGAGTTTTGACGATTGTTGCTTCAAATTCTTTTGCAGGCAACAAAGATTGGCAGACTGGTCAAAACAAGCTGATGGCGCCTACGTTACTACAAGGTGCAGTACTGCCACCGGAAGGAGCGGCAGCTACAACTATCAAGGACGTCCTTGGACTCCTTGATTATCATCAGACACTTTTGTTCGAGGCCATTGCGGAGTTGGCAGAGCTGCAAGAAATGGAAAACGAGAAGCAACGCATTGTGGATGCCATCGCAACAAAAGACTTGGCCATGCGGGACTTCGCCAAGCGCGTGCGAGATGCTCAACAGGTTCTGGAAGCAACCGTGGAGGAGTTCGATGACTACAGACGACCAAAGCGGAAGGGTGTCACGGATGAGTGTAGCGGAATAGGTTTGGGGACGATTAATGTGCAAGAATTGGTGGCCTATGCCCATCGCATCAGTTATACCACGTTCGCTCCTCCTGAATTCGCCGAAGGTGCGGCTTTGCGTGGCGCACTTCCTCCCGCTCCTCAGGATGAACAGATGCGTGCATCGAAATTGTACCATGTCAGTGAACTCGATCTGGGACTTCCGAAAGTGTTTGAGCGAGTCGTATCTCCGCTCATGGGTGCTGATGCTGACACCAAGGTCGAAGGTGGGTTCACTCCACATGCGGGTCCCGGCGGTTTGCCTCCACCGCCTCCTGGATGGAAGCCTGGTATGCCATTAGAGTTACCTCTGGAGTTGCCACCCATGCCTCCTGGATGGAAACCTGGAGATCCTATACCATTGCCTGCTGATATGCCGCCCCTTCCACCTGCCGGATGGAAGCCCGGAGATGCTGTGGTTTTGCCACCGGCTTTTGCACCGTTTCCTGGAGTCGAGGGTGCAGCACCTGCTGGACCTATTAAAGCTCCACCGCTACCTGCCCCTCCGATTCCAGCTTCGGGTGTCATTCATGTGCCTTTTGTGCAGCTTGATTTGAATCCTGAGCTTGAGGATGAATTTGGTAGTGAGTACAGTGACGATGATGGCAGTTCTGACGATGACGACTGAGGACGGAGGTGAGTTAGCAATGATCTAAAAGTTTGTCGTGACTTTATTGTTCGTCTAGAACGTTGATACAAAGGTTTAGTCGATTGCAAGTCCACGAAGATTAGGGCACTTTCATTTATTAGTTGTGTGAGGACACGCAGAATAACTCGATCTTCTGAACTCTTGAAGTCATCAATAAAAGAGGATCCACTCACTGTCACCAGGAGATGCATTTCAAGTTCGACGTTGATTGCTGAAGGTAGATAAGTCGCTGGACATTTGTTTACACCCTTGTATAGCGAGGAGATGTCAGTCTGTTTTTCAATCATACTATTGTTGTTGGGGTGTCAGGCCCAAACTGCTTGTCCTTCAAATTTTTAATGAAGCGTACGTGCCTTCACCATTTTCAGGAGACTTCTCTCTGGTCTTGTAGCGTCTTGCTTGGGCCAATCTTGAAGGGGTCCAGATCGTTCTCACAGGACTTTCCGAGGGACTTACAGTCATCTTCTACTCTCTCGGAATTTTTTTCTCTTGAACTGCGCTGCAAGCAGTGGGCCCAATATTACTGCCCACAGGACCCCAGGAGGGGTTAACTGGACTTTGAAAGCTATTATCGGTGTTCCCTTCTTCATGCCTGTCCGGCCACCCCGACCGTCACTGCCGATTGTCTGTAGGGGAAATATCAGCTCCAAAGCGGCAGCATGCATTTCTCTACTTCTTCCACTGCTTGAGACCAGCATAGAAAGCAAAAGTGAGTAATCGAGTCGTACTTACTGCAAAGCAGAGTTGTTCCATGACTGGGTGAGAGGGAGATTGTTATTTGGATCTCTTTATTGAGCACTTCATAGGATTTCATTTCTAAACAAGTTATCATGCTCACCCTGTAAAGTTGTTTGTTTGTAGATGGTGGGGAAGAGAAGAGATACCACTGCTGACGAAGGACGTAATGGGTTTTGCACCGATCTGAAACACTGTGATATCTGTAATAGATACGAGTGTTCCATTCAAAATTTGCCTAAGAGGGTTCAAGCTTGATCCTGAAGTCGCACAGTGAGAGACACACATTACGGAAGTTGAGTTAATCTCTATGAGTCAGGTAGGTCGTACCCAACACAGTAGCTACTTTGATGTCCTAAATGTCCTTTTCAGGTGTGTAAAAGGCAGATACTGTCTTGGTTGTACATAGCACCGCTTTGTGTAGGCTCTTAGACAGCGCCTAGTTGAGATCTTTTTACCTTGTGAAGACAGTCACAGCGAAGCAGAGCAAAAGCCTGTTTTTGGAATTAAATTCAAATCGCAGGAACCTAGCTCACTCAGTTTTTGTCGTAGAGAAATATAGGCGACAAGATACAGAAACATGCTTCTTTCGGAAATGGAAGAATTTCTGCCAGATCCATCTCATCCAGTCACGGATGGAGTTTTGTATGTTGGACGTGACGCTCTTCATTCGGAACAGTTCATCCAAAATTTTTGCCATTCCTGAGTAAAATCCAAACATGAAAGCAAGAGTTGAATTAAGCTGTACAAGGTCGATGTAGTTGTAATTTAGTGGATCACCGATATGCTTTGAATTTGACAGACACAGCTTGTATGCTATCTTCTAGTGTTCACTACCTCACGGAATATCGATGTTTAGCTTTGTTGTATTTTCTCGTTGCCTGTGTATTTTGCATACTTACTCTTTCGTTATTTTCTCCAATACAGGAGACTATGTTTATGATGTAGCTTTAGCTTTTTCTTCTATGATAGCCTTCAGTTTCCGTCTGTTATATGTTTCTGGAAGATAGTATAGTCTTTGCAACACTTCTGACTCTGAGTAGAAAGTCAGCAACAGAAGAGGATTAAGTCGGTATGTGATGTGGCATACATGAAAGGACGATTTAACATTTGTGATTCAATCGTGATAAGGTAGTGTACAATATCCACAGTTAGTTTTTCCTAAGTAGTTTTATTTAGGCAAAGAATGTGCACTACATTATGGTTCGGGTTTTGATTGGGCTTTTAAAAAGTTTTTCTCTGTTTGTCATTTTCACCCATTTTTTAATGGTTACTTTTCAATTTGTTCACTGTTCACAATTTGTGGATAGTATCTATATCGTTGTAAAAGAGGAAATAGAGAGGAATTTGCCTACCTTTCTGGTTGACCGTGTCGACGGACACAAAAAGTGTTAAGAAAATGTTGTCTATTGAAGAAAATTTCTTCCATAACCAAAAGAGACAGAATTGTTGAGCTACAAATGTACAAGTTTTAAACACATTTTTTCAAAGTTGCGTCCACCGTCAAATATTATTTTATATCTATGAAAACTAATCTTGAACTACTCGATGAATCTTAGATTTTTAAAGATCTGATAGTTGACAAATTTTTACCTCAAAGGATCCCCATAGTTGTTCTCTCCTTTCTTCACGCCGTTCGTGGAGGAGGTGGCTTCGATGGTGTAAGTGAAAGGCACCCGTCCATATACACCATCCAGATTGCTGCGTCCTCGATCAGGAACATAACTTACGCGATTTGCTTCCGGATAAAGCGCTTTGAGAAAACATAGTTCTGTACTATCTCTGGAAAGGCAAGACGTAAGTTACATTGATATTTATTGATGTATTATAACCTCTTCTTTCTGGGGCAACAATTTTCCTTTCGTTTATAGGGAAAATATTCTGTGTGTGAATTGTACTGTATGGACTTGTCTGGATCCCATAGAGTGATTTCAGACGAAGAGCAGAATCGTAAGAAGTCCTCCTGTCACAACATAAGATTCGCTGTATCAAAGTTGGAAAGCACTTTCTTACTTGGCACCCGGGTGCGAGTGCGCGGGTCGCTCTCCGTTACGTAACTGAGTGGGGATATCTATATGTGAGGTGCCACTTGAAATAAGTTACTAAGTTAAAGGAACTGTTCGGCGTTTAGAGAGAGAGAGAGAGATATGATAGAACCCCGCTTGCCTAATTGCTGTATTAGATATAATATATGTCTAAAATAGCAAATATAACAAGTTGGTATATGTTACATTATTATCCTTCACGTAACGCTAATTATCCCTCATCCTAGGTTAATCTCACCTTTTTAGCACTACTTCTCCCGCGAAGACTATATTTCCCATTTGGTCTTTCCTTGCATGGTATCGACTAATCAAAGATCTCTCTCTTGAGGGTGAGGGATAATTAGCGTTAACTAGCCCTCCCCATGTCACATATACCAACTTGGAGACAAGGAGGCATAGATAGGAACACTTGAGACTAACACCCTGGGAACAGAATTCAACCATAAGAGAGAACATTCACATGACTCATGAACTTGGAGACAACATCAAAACACGTGTGACCCACGAGTCTTCAATCCTGGAAGTGGAGGGAGATTACACTGGGATCAAAGCCTAGTCGACGAGAACGCCAAAATTTTAATCAACATCTTGTCATGAAACGAATGAAAAGAGTGCAGGCTGCGGCACCCGCTTTCTCTAAAGGTTCTCCGATTCTCCCGACAGCGTCATGCTTTCCCGTGCTCCTCTGCGCCAGCAATGTACTTCACCCCATCTCACTTCGAGCTCTCGTTCCTGTCGGCCGCAAATGGACAATCTGTCACGACTTGCACATGGACTCGCTAGTGGCTTCTGCTAGTCAGTGAAATAGCTTCCACCATGAGCACCAAGGATCCATCCCTCTGCTGTCATCGCTTAAACCAGGGACACCTAACGCTAATCACAGAGAAGAAACCGAACATGCGTCGAACAAATTAGTCCATGTTGAGTTTTTGGATCTAAATTGATGGCCCGGCCACTGCAATTTCTTACAGTGCTCCAATCTCGAGAGCCATGAGTCTTTGCGTCCTTGATGCCTGGGTCCTGAACGAGGCGAAGGCAACAAAACCTTAGTTCAGGTCTGGTCCGCCGAGGTTTCTTCAGGATCTCCTTCACTCAGCGGACAGAAGTCAGAAGAAGTCGCGACTCTGGGGGCGTCTCGAGTTGCGGCGTCCTAATATACCTCGGGGATTTAACTGGAGCAGGATAAGCTCTTGCTGATTCGTTCGAACGAATTCCATATTCTCTGAACCCATTTTCAACTGCGCGTTTCCAAAGGTAGTCGACTTCGCAGTGAGTTCTTTTCCCGCCTCAGGCCTCTCGAGCACCTTCTAGCGCGCCTCCTTTTCTTGCTTCTCGATCTCCGTCGCTTCGTCGAGAGTTCCTCTGAAGTACCAGCTGACGGCATAAAGAGTGAGCCCCGCTGCGATGCCCAGCCCCCACACATTCGCGCCCCTGAGACTGTAAGATTTGGCCGCCGTCTTCAGTCGACCAAGCTCGTCAGGTTGCCCCGGGCTCGAAGCATTCGACGACCTCCGAACTCCGGCGACAAAGCAGGCATCGCGCAACGGAGAAGGTAGAGGAAAGATCTGCTTCGCGAATCGTAGGGGAAACACATTGGCCGAAGCGAATGTTGAAACTGCGGACGATGAGAAGGCCGCACGAGAAAAGCTCGGAGTTATCACCGGCACAAAAGCAGCGGGTACAGACTTGTCGATCGAGCAGCCCGCGAGCTGAACATCCTGTTGAAGATGGAGACGTGTGGATTGTAGGCCGCTGAAATTTTCTTCGCTCGAATTGCCCATGTCGATTATCTTCTTCGATCCTCAGCTGCAGGATAGAAACACTGATCGGCGAATTTGGTTGTCGAATACTTCTCCCGTCGGGGCGGCCATCTCTAGATCTTCTGTAATGCCAGCACACAGCGAGGAAGAAGTGGCACCTGGCAGCATCCTGTGATGACATGCAAGCAGCACATGTCCAATCCAGAGCTGAGTAGGCGGTGCTACCTTGTCTAGTTGACCTTCTATAACAGGGATCCAAGCAAGAGAAGAAATCTGGGCAAGTGGATAAAACAAAATGTGGTAAGATCCTATGAAACGAGGCGCTTCATCAAATAGTATCACAATGTAATATCTAACATTTCCTAACTAAAACCAGTCCAATCACATTGAAATCAAAGTGAAATCAAATTAAACATCTAGATTAGAATATGTTACTTAAAAAAAAGAACGAATGTCATTTGAAAATGAAATAAATATATTTATGATACTAACAAATGTTCTATTTTTTTAAAAGTTTTGATGATGCTAAAGTAAAATTAAGCTAATGCTATATCTAAAAGATATATTTAATAAACTATTATACATATAGAGAATATATATAAATTATATTTGTTGATGATAAAGTAATAATGTTACTTACTTGACATATATCATATATGTCTTCAATATATAATATATGAAATTATTTACTTGATGAGACTCCGTTGGAAACTAAATTGTTTCATGGGACCATCAAATTTAGCTTTATCCGATAGAATTTCATCAACAGTACATGGTCTCAGAGTTCTTAAATGTGTTCTTATATTGTGAACTTATGCGACATGTCGAATCTTCAGTGTTGGGCCAATTTCAACCAATTTCTCCCAATTTCTCCAACATTTGCTCTCGAAAAACATCACAAGTGGCGTGGCCTGGTACCTGGCAAGTTGCGACTTAATGATCTAGGGCGTCATAATTCTCTATTCCATGGAACTGCTATGGCAAATTCTAAGATTTTGTTTCCGGATAGGTAGTACCTTCAATCTGCTCGTGTGGGTGTTTCAAATCACTCCAGTCTATCCACTTTACTTATTTCAATAATATTATCTTGCTGCGTAAAACTAGCCATATTTTCAATATGAATGATGTTGTATATTATGATTGTGTTATGTGCATGTATCTACTCAATTAAAAATTAAATCTCAAAATAATATCTCAAAATTGAACATTGAGTTGACATACCGAATATTACATAAGTAAACATTAAACGTAACAGTATGTTACAATATAAATCGCAGACATGACATAGGTTAGAGGTATTTACTTGATGGGTGCTCGTCGGAACCTAAATTGTTTACTCTAACACTTTATGTTTAGTTTTACCCGAAAGTACCCCACCGGATGTGGAAGTCCAAGTATTGAACCTTAAATACAAGTTTTAAATTTTGATTTTCAAAAATTAATTTCACTCGATTACATATCTTAACAATTTATTATTATGTACGTTTTTTATTATGTTTTGCAATAAAACTTTTTATTGTGACTTACTTTTGTATAAAAGAACTGTATATCATATCATAATGTTTGATGTGACATTCAAGGATGTTGTGATGTATGTTTACACATGTTCACGTTTGTGTAATTTTTCTGTATATATACGATTAGCATTATTATTCTTTCTCACATGTGAATTAAAAAATTAGTAATATTTAATGAGATGATGATGAACATTTTTAGATTGAATATCATGTGAATGACATGATAATATGATAAAGATTAGTTATTACAGTGAGATAATTAAATTTGTGTGAAGAGCAAATTTGTTGTAGATGCCATGATTTTTATAAATTTATGAGTATTGATAGGAATCTCAATATAATGAGTATGTTATATTTTTGATTTTTTATTCATATACAAATGTATAATTATCTTCATTTTTAATTTTAAAGAAAGAATTTTTAAATAATTTAGTCTAAATATTTAGATTCTTTTTGTATGTAATAAAGTTACTATTACTGAAAATGATACATGTTCATGGATCTTGAATTGATACTAGATTAGAATTTTTTGGACTTGTACTTTTTAGTTTTATAACAATTCAATGATTTTGAATCTCAACATTTATCTTATCTCTATAATAAGATTTTATGCTAATGTAATTCATCCATTAGATACATGTTATGATCTATATTTCACTATAGAAATAGATATTATATTTAGGTAAATTGAAAATTTTAAACTTTTGCATATTATATTCTTTTCTATATACTTAATATGCACATATGATCATGTGTACTTCTAGGGTGATTATACATTTTTTTACGAAAATTGAATACTATAAATTACACTAGTTAATGCAATCCATGCATAATAATAAGATGAAATACAAACATATTGAGAAAATAAATCTAAGTAATTTTAAGACGTACATGCAACTAAATGTATTTCTCAATGAGTGTTGAGCATTTCGAGGGGTTATCTCTTATGGCGTCATGTTTCTTTTCTCTTTGCTATGTTATTTGGTTCCTCAAGAAAACAATAAGGTGAGATGCAAGCAGAAATTAGAACTTGCTACCTTATCTTCTTGTTTGATAGGTGACAGCTTTATGCACATAGATGCGTGTATTAGCCAAGTTACACAACCGTATAAAGCTAAACCACCAGCATTCCCTCCATGAAATTTGGCCGATGGGAGCAACGCATCCACCAAGAAAAGAGCAGTTGAAAAAGGGACAAAATTGGTCCTGAATTGTCTTTACCATCCTTATTGTGTACAATGTGTTTTTGGTATCACCCTAAACTTATGACGCATCACTGGAAAACAGGGTGGCGTAATCATCGTCTCACGAGTCCGCGGAGCTGGGGCGAAATTCACCTTCGCCACAGGTTCAGCTGTCCGGAAAATGCTGTGAGCAAGCTCGTCAGAAGGATCATATTACACTGCCCGTGAACATCTACATTTCCATATGCACAAGTTGGTTGACTCCCAATGTCCTAAATCTCTAGAGCAGAGAAAAACTGAGAAAATCAGAGCTTCCGGAGAGCTGACAGAATGTCCGATAGAGCCACGAGTCCTCGTAATGAACCGTCCTCGTCTGTGACCCAAAGACGATGAATCCGGTGCTCCACGGCTTTCGTGATGACCTCTCCCAAGGTCGTGGTGAATTTACAAGTTACAGGTGGTCGGCAGCTCGCGGACTCAGGACCAGCTGCTGCCCCGGCTCCAAAATTCTGCGAAGTCCAGACCTTGCGGGCCCAATCCATGACAGTGATGGATGACCACGTCCCCAAGGCTTCAGCGCTGCATCCTCGCAGGTCACTGGCGGAGAATGTTCCCAAAAGCTTCCTGCCTTGGCCCTGTTTCCAGTCAAGCTCACAGATCAGTACCCGCATTGTGTCAACAGAACAACATCATCAATCCATCACCCATTCAAAAACCACTCTTCAGACATCTCCTTCGTTCTGGGTGATCGAGTTTCCTAATTCCTTGCCAAAAAAAAATTAGACGTGGACAGTTATTTATGTCGTTTTCCTTGATTAGAAAAAAAACCCAGACATTAACCGACACCGTTTCTCGTGCTCCATACATGCCAATTATATTGTCTATGTGAGACAATTGTGCTCTACTTGAATGAGCAGGAGTTTGCGAGACTCTCACCATGGACAGACAATCCATGTAATAACGGACGCCCTACACTTGCATTGAGGATTCCACATAACAGATCAGTATCGTGAACCAACTGCTGAGGATGAAACGAACAAACTAAACCAAACCAAAAGAAAGTCAGCCTCTATTAAGCCCTACTGCCTTTGAAGATTATGCCTCACGTATAAGCCATGAATGTTAGATCCAAGGTCAGCTGCATGACTTACATTGATGAACATCGGCTCCTTGTCAATGTCTGGTACAGCCTCTACAATGGCAACTGCAGGCAGGGCGGTGTTTGCCATGCACTTCAAGGCAGTCATCACGGCCATCGTATGAGGAACGGCGAACACACTCTGGCGAACGGCCCCAATGTCAGAGACAGTCTGCTTCAGCACGCTGTTCATCGCGTCAGCATGATCGTGAATGAATTGGATAACATCGGTCTGTGTCAACATATGGTAACCTGAGGAGGATTCCGTCAACTCCACCCCGTGTGTATCCGACTGGCTTTCGAAAGGAACCAGAACACGATGAACTCCTTTGCTCATTGGCTCAATCGAATCATAAATTCTGCACTTCCACAAAAGAACAACATTCAGAATAGATCAGTATTGTACTTCCGCAACATTGTCATACATGGTGAAATATTTACGTATTTATGAACTCGAGCAGTCAAAGTTCTCGACCAGCTCGTGAGTTGACGTGATCGACGTCCTCTTTGTCCAGGTCTGATCGGGCATTGTGATACGGTCTTCCTCACAGGACATGTATTCCAAGACCAATGGGAAGCCCCAGCTTTCCTTCCGGAGAAATGCTTCACGAGAGATCTTCAACAGATGCTGATTAAGTTTTTACTTGCAAGCAATGCCACTCTATAGATCCCTCAATGTCAATCGAAAAATGCAAATTCAATGGACCAACTGTTCGGGACGTGGTATAGAGTCCTTCTTGGGCTACGATGACATGGAAGCGGAAAACATAGCAATGTGGCTGGAAGAACAAGAGAATTACAGGCGCTCTTGGTGAGAAAAATGGAGTCCGAGGTTGACAAGGATACTTACGAGGTGGTGGGGCTGATCGTCCACAAGTTGAGGCCCTCCAGGGAGTGGCCTATGATGCTCGAGACGGGGGCATTCAGCTGAGCGTCGTCTTCAACGACGTGAACGAGTATGTCCAAAACGCTAACGAGACCAATGTAGTGCTTGCGCACTGTCCCCGTTGCCTTGTCTGCCTCGAGGATCTGTGATCCTCCCGCCCCAATCCACTGACCAGGAGGTGCAGCCACCGCCACGGCCAAAATGTCATGAGCCTGCATCGTATTGAGCGTGTCCCTCACGCTGGCGTTGAAAGGAACTTCAATCAAACGCCTCTTGTTCTTCATAATCTGACTTATGGTGGACGATTTCAGCAGGTTCACTGCCTGATCCACGCTCCCTACATCTTCCTGCATTGTTCTTCTTCTCTTCACAATTCGACGCCGCAGCTCGTTCTCAACAACCGCCTAAAACCCTCCCTGAACACAGTTCATCACAAACATCAAACTCTGATCGAGCGATGACGAGATGAGCGATCTCGGACTTGCAAACAAGACCAAAATCAAAATCTCAGAATTCTCACGCAAAGCTCCGAACTTAGCATCAAATTTATCGTCAACATTAAAGTCAAAGTAGCATTCCTCTCGACACGTTCTCTCGACCCTCATCAGCTCTATGACTCTGTCATGGGTTGAGGTACCTACAAGCGTCTAGCTCGATCAGAAACAGACAAGAGAAAGCTAAGAGCTCCGACAGTCAAACGGCGAGCTCGAGATCAAATCAGGGTGTATAAAATTCCTCGACCGCCTCTAGCGATTTATCCGCCGAGACGAGGACACTGTAAATGGAAAGATCGAAGCCCGACCAAAAAGGAGAGAGGAAGCTTTAAGAAAAGGCAGAGGATCAGAGCGCACGGCACTGCGGAAGCTGAGTACAAATTGTCGGAAATCGAATGCTGATTGCAAGACTCGAGGAGGACAGAGAGTGGAGATGAAGCGGAGGGGAAGTAGCGCAGCGAAGATCCACGAAGCGCTGGAAGCGGGAGAACTTCGGCTGACGAGGCTGAGCCTACGCGGACTCAGCACGTCGCACTCAGCTCGCCACCTTGCAACTTGCGGAGTCGCCACGTACTCACGTCGGAAACTCATAACTGATCGAGTTTCGCCGTACCCTGACGATGAGTGTCGGTTCAAGCTGACGGCGAAACTTAACTTTGCAGCCGGTGATCCAGCAGCCCAAGCCAATGCTCAGATAATACTTTAACGATGGACCTAATTCAGATTCGCGCCTGCCCCGAGTCATCACCTCGTTCGTCGATTGAGAAGATGACAAATTTGACATCTCCTAGATGATAACAAAACCAGCAACTTGCCGTGAAGAATCTTTGACCTTGCTGAGTACTCAGAGTCTTTGTATCGTATCAATCAGTCGTATCTTATCTGTATCTTCAATCATAAAAATTGTGCGATTTCATATCCGAAAATATTATGCTCGGGACAAGGTTTATTTCAACAATTGAAAGTTGAGATACACGTTCCTATAAAGTATACATGAGTTTAAAAATCAACAACTTGTGCTAATTACTCTACAATATATCAAGAAAAGTTTACAAAGTACAAGAGTATATTGTATTTGAACCGGGATATTCTAACTCACTTGGTAACACAATTGACAGGTTCGAACCAGATTCTTCGTTGTGGTCTTGTCTGCGTAAACTGTGAAGGTAAGCTATTGGCAAGGGACCAGGATCACTCCAAGTAAAACACTGTATGTGAATATAGCTCTTCGAAGGAGCACGAGGAAAACTAAAACCTAAACACGATATCTATACAGGATAAAATTCGCTATGCTATTACTAAGAAGCTATCACTAATTTCATAAGTGGATTCTTTCTCTGACTTTAGAAAAAATTTTAAATTTCAATTTTCTTTTTTGTACATTGGTGTGATTTCACTGAAAAGTTATGCAATCAAAGCATGTTGATGCAATTAGATATTGATATAAACAAATGTGTTCATTGTTGAAAATTTAATCATGAGATGTTAAGTATTATTTTGATAAATTATCTTCAGAAAATGATGATATTATTTCTTAACAAGAGATTTTTCCAAGCACAACATTTAAGGTGAATTGAATTTTTATATTTAAGCGAACAAATGATGAAAATAATATCTAATAACATGTGCAGTTCAAGTTATACTCAAGATGTGAAAATTGTACTTTATTTGAAGGCTAATTATGGCCAATATTTAGATGAGATAAATAGGTATGATAGAATATGTGTTCACATTCCAAGGTTAATGCATATGTTGATCATCCATGTTGCAAAAGTGTGTGGTCTAGTTCATCTCGTAATTATCCTGCGTAAAGTAGTGCAGGATGCAATTTCGTTTAACAGTTTTGTGATAGAAATGAGGTTAGCCCATTGTATTGTGAATTTTCACTGGGACAGTCCCGTAAATACTTTGTACACATGTTTTGTAGAGATGAATTGATTTTAAGTTTCAACATTGAAGAAACAAATGATATTGTTGATAGCTTTCACGAAATTATTTCTATAGAATTTTTTCAAGACATCAAATCACATGTAAATTTACACTGTCCAAATATCTGTCACTCCTTGGAAATACTTCACACTATGAATATTGATATTACACTCTTTATTTAATTGAAAAATTACAATATCATTAGATAAGAATAAATAATTTACTTACTCAATAGACTAGTTCTATGATCATGCTTCTAGTTTCAAGCATGATTTGTATTGTTACCCTCATAATTGAACATGCACAAGAAAAAGAATGAGGATTTTCATAATTGCGTTTCTTGTCAAACAATCTTAAGTACATGTTATCATAAATACTTCTTTTCAATTGTTATTGCATGGAAATGAAAACAAAATTGACACCTTAAGAAAATGCTAATCGATAATAACAACGGAAATGTCAAAAGGAGTCAGGTTTCAGTGACAGATGAAATTCATAAACTATGATTGAGAGAAGTACACAATCGAACCCTGCACAAATAAACATGTGAACATATGCTTATTCAAAACACATGTGGCAGATAATATTGTTTAACCCCTTGATTTCATTGTTCTTACCGCTTGAGCTTTGTTAAGATGACGATCGTTAAGGATGAAACAATTTCTCGATCATAAGATCCATGTAATGTATGCGAAAAAGCATGAGAATACAAAGCCATCAATCACATTAGTGCATAAGCAAGGACTTGAAAGATAGCGGACACGTAGGTGGAGATAACGACAAGAGACAGAATGAGGAAGGAAATAAAAAGCACAAAACTAGAACAATTCCTCTCTCTGATCTCCGCAACCCAACGGTTGGGTCGGGACCTCTCAAGCTCGCTAATCCTCTTCTGGATTTTCCTCCAATATTCCGGAGGGTTCGACGGAATGTACAGCCCTTCACACAATTGGTTCCACTGCTTGCATACGGTTTCTGCACTACCCACCTGGTCTACGACCACACGCCGGTTGATCAGCAGACGCACGTCTTGGACGCTGTCAAGCAAGCATGTCATCAAGAACAAGTAGGTCCTCATCTCACCTCGGTGACCATTCGCTCCGCTATCCTGAATTTGTTCGTACAGGGCGAGGTTTTTGAAGACAGAAGCGGTGTGATCATGCATGATGAGTTTGGGCACAAGGAGAACATAACTGTGGAGATAACGTCGCTCGAATTTTATCTTGTTCATGGTGAGGGAATCCTCGTTCACCGTCACGGTGATTCCCATCCGCCTCAATGTTGTTGCGGATGGTATTTTGAACGCATTTTGAGACGGTCCTGCATGTGAATACGGTGCACCGATGCTTGATGGCTTAAAGCATGGGAGATCGACCAAGTCCCCCAAGTACCGATTTGAGCTCGAAGGTGTGCAGGAAGACAGGGGTCCACAGATTGCGAGATACGCGCAGTCCAGAAGATGGTAACAGTCCACGAAGGAATCAATGCCGTGCTTGTGATAATTTTTCATATGTTGTCGTAGTTGCGGTTCATGATCCTCGTTGACTTTCGTGCCATGGTGAAAAGGGTACACTTTGATCACGAACCATTCTAGCAAATGGTACAGATCAGAACGTAGATCCCGGCCTTCAGATCCCTTGCTCAGCTGGTTCAGTACTGCGCTCAACAGACACATGGGCACCTGATTCTCCAACATCAGAAGGTCATGTAGTAAGGCGAACCTTTGGGCGTTGAAGCTGCATCGCCTAAACACGCGATCGAAATCGTAGCCCCAGGTATCTTGGAAGCTGTAGCTGCAGCGCAAAAACGCCACGATGAAGAGAGCATCCAACGCGACCACGCCGTTCTCTCTGTCGATGGAAGTCACATCGGACTCCAACCGATAGTACTGTCGCCTCGCCTCCTTCAAGGCTTCGTCCAGGCTGGACACGAAGTCCCTCCACACTTCGGGTTTCGGAGTGCGTACGGGTGATGATGTGATGACGGTCGTTGGCGGAGCGCTAGGGATCGGACCCCGACAGATCTCGCGAGCTATGGCAAGTTTGGAGCAATCCACGTTCATAACATCATTCTCTGTGTCGAGTGCTGTATGCTTGTAGAAGCCCACGAATAACTCCTGGGGCTCGAAATCCAGCTGGAGGATATGATTTTGCCTCTGCCGTATGTATTTAGGAAGTCGGAAGATGCGAACGCTAGAGTCATCCTCATCCTCCTGCGACAATTGTGCAATGATCTGTTTGTGTGGATCATTGGACATGTCAACTCTCGGAACTCTCAGAGCTTCGCTTACTCTTTTCTTCTCTCCGGTTGCGATGGGACATCGCTACGGAGATGTTATAGACGTTTGTTCGAGCGACTTTCGCGTCCAAGAAAATATTACTTTTTTAATTGGCTTCTAAAGTCCCGTTCCACGGGATACGTTAAAGTTTTGTGGGAAGACCCCCTGAATTTTTACCACGGTTAAAGTAATTACGTTAGATGGTCTACTTCTTACATGAATGTCACAAGTATCATTACCCACTGTTACTCGGCCTTAAGAATGGTGAAAAAGGACTGAGAGATGTCAAAACAGACTATACAATTTAGTAAAGAGAATGATATAACCGCTACCAACTTAGATGGTCTACATATTACATGAATATCCCAAGTATCATCAACCAGCAATGTGATTTCTGTCCTATGAATCTAATCAAATAATATGTCATCAATAGACTATACGATATATCAAAGAAAATGATATCACTGCCAACTACTGCGGATCTGGATTTCGCTTAACGTAAGTAAAAATTAATAAATAAGTATAATCAAAATAAATTTATGTTTTTTTAATATAAGAAAGAACCTGGAACAATTTTCTAACAGTTTCAGTTGTTTATAGATTTGAATTTTCTTTTTTTAACATCATGTAAAAAAAATCTATTGAAAATTTGATTTCGAAAAGAAGTTAATGTATATGTTTCAGTAAAAAAAATTAAATCATAATAATTTGAAGTTGATGGTAAAATATGTATATATTAACAATCTGATCCGTTATATATGTACTTACCTCATATGCCTGTGATAATAATCACTCCATGAAAAGATTCTTAAATTTGGATAATGTTCAAGATGAGTATCATGAATGTATACAATGCCATATCTATATACCCATACAAATAACAAAATCTATTTGTACATTATAAGTTTACTTATTACAAGATTTCTGTAACAACTGTTAGACTATGATTGGAACTAGATTGTATCATTCCATGCTTATATCATTGTGGATTGTGTTCACTTCGTAACAACACCTATTTGCATTGTGCTCATGACTCAATATGCGAACTCCATGATGTCACAAGTCAACTCATTGTTGACTTTAATGTTCTATTACAATAGATGCAAACATTGTATCTTTCAAATATGACCTGGTAGGGTGGGTTAGACCAATACTTTTATATGTTGAGAAACAAAGACATGAATATCTTTAGTATAATAGTCATAATAGATATGAAACTCCATGGCAATGGAAGTGATGTGTTGTGTCTCATAGAAAGAAAATAAAACTTGGGTCATTCTGGAATTGGTTTGCACGAATTCAGCTTTAGAGCCATACGATGTCATAAGATGTATAGTGTATTGGGACCCAATACACTATTTGAGTTATGCAGGTGCATAAAGTTCTCCATTAATTTTCTCACGCGAGATGTTTCGTGGATTACAGAAGTAAACTTTTGTTGTTGCAGTAAGAGCTATAATGAAGTCTCTCTTGCGCTTCTATCTCGAACTCGGCTTCACAAGTGTGATCTAACCTTATTGTTTATCACTGGTGGCGAGCCGAGGGATACCAAAGGCCCGGGGACGAGTCCAAGGACTGGCTCGGCCACATCATCACACTCATTAGCTACGCCGCCTGAATCAATATGCACTTCGCACCCAATGAATGGAGAAAATTACTTGATGAACCTGCACAACAGAAATAGTGTATTGGGACCCAACATCGCATGACCCCACCAAGGCGTGAACCATTCTTCCTCTCTCGGCCGCGTGTCTCCAAGATAATTCTCCATGTTAGAACTCACCTTCTTCCCGTAAGTTGGTAGATATTAGAATATGAATGACATTGTGAATTAAGTGAAAGTTGATGGGACCATCAAGTTTCAATTTAGCCCATGGACCTCAACGACAATCCATCGTCACACGGTTCTAGTATGAACAGAAAATGTAATGCGTGCGTGAGTTTAACTTCGTGTTACGTTCGGCAGGTGATATTTGGTTTTGCCCTTGGCTCTGCTGAACCACTTACTTTCATCGTTAGAGCACATCAACAATCAATTGACCCTAGACCTATAGAGTACATGTGCGCCGATGAGCCTCCTCGACGCAACTCGTCCGCATTGATTTATCTCACATGCACCGTTGAGAGGGAGGAAGAATTGCATCCCTTTGACACACAGCTAGCCCCGTCGATAGGTGAATCCGACACAGGTCGTTCCGAACACTGATCCTTCCTCGTACGTACGAGGCTCTCCGCTTCTGTTTTGTTAAGGGAAACAGACAGATCAGATTGCACACCTCTCTAAAATCGTAGATTTCTGCATTTCAGCACTTAGGGCATGAAGAACTCGAAGACAGCCTTCGATCACCCCGATGAAGCAAGCCAAAAACGGAAACCTCCTCCTCGTGACGCACAATAATATACCTGTGCTAGAACACATATTAAAATTCATCGATAGTCTACCATGAGTTAAATTGAAATTTGATGTGTCACATAAAACAAATTAAATTTTGATAAGCAAATATGTCCGAATATAGGATCCATCAAGTAAAATCATATTTGTTGGTCCAGTCATCTAGAGAGTCCCATCAATTAATTTTCTACCATGATTGGTACCCTTTCATGAGTTCTTCACCTTTTGTTAACTCTGAGCATAAAGAGTGCGGTGTTTATTGTACTTGGTGTAAGAATGTAGAAGCTTTGGGTTACATACTTCCACGGTGTGATTGTTTCATGCATGAAACCTTTAAGACAGCGGCTTGGTGACCATACAGGAGAATCCAGTTCGTGACGCGGATTAAACCGCAGATTTTCGGGGATAGAACCTTGTGAGAAACTAATGGCAAGGCTCCATCACGGCAGCCAGCAAGGAAGAAATATGAACCGGAATCAATGTACTGTAGAATATTGTTTGAAAGTCCAGAGCAGCAGTTTCATGGAAGAAGGAGCGTCGACGCGTCGAGGTCGACATTTGGCAGACGTATTTTCTGTGCAGATGCTCAGCTCCATGTAAATATAGAGTTAATGATACCATTGTGAATGAAGTGATTTACGCAAGTCAGATCCCTGACTTGCAAAATCCCCTAGATAAGTGGCTTTTACTCTATTCCGACATGACTTTTGGTTCATCGGAAGGTGCGTGGTTATTCGATCCTGCCTAAAGTCGAAACCGATAATCCAAACATGTCGCCACAGTCATTCATCACGTACATATCCGCAATGGGTCTTCCCATTTTTCTATGCTATATTCCTTGGTTGTCTCCCTCCACGAAAATCTTGGGAGAAGACTTCTTGACCGTCGAGAGAAGTCAATGTACTGTAGAATCTTATCTTTTGCTCTTTAACTGCGTCGACCTGTTGCTTCTTGACTGTGTGAAATCGGATGACTCAGACTGGAGGCCGTTATTCCATCTCGGGAACCTCCTGGCCTCCCCGCGACGCGTTTATCTTGTTTTGCCGAGAGCAGTTGCACTTTACCCGCATTCAATAGCAACTAGTGGACGATGATGGAATCCTTGACAAATATGAGATCTGACGATTAGATCGTTTAGTTCTCTTTGTTACAGTCGTGTAATTTTGGTTGTCCTCTGCTGCTCACACAAAATATTCATACAATAAATCAGATTGACTGGTAAATATTTACACATATATAAGAAGACAATGCAATCAGTGTTTGATCTAGATATTGAGATACAATTTCTATTTAGAATGAAAACAAGATTTTACATAAATTCATTGAAATAGAATTTTTAAATAAAAAATAATTTTGGAAAAACTTAATGAAAGTGATATTCATGATATTATCATTTGTATTGCTAGAATCTTTTTTGAATGTGTCTCAGTTATATATATGATTAATTGTATTGTTCATCAAATAGAAAATAGTTAAACTACTATAATTTAACCGTATATCAAGATAATTTCAGAACAAAATATTATGTTCTTTGACATAATGGATATGATGCATCTCGCGAGTCGTTGATCCGTGTAGATCACTCTAAAAAGATCTGATCGACCTCTAGCTAATATCAATAATCTGCTTGGTTTCATATCATCAATTTAAAAGGTACTATTCGTTTCCGCGTTGCTTTGCCAAAATTACATTTTGTGTATTGATTTAATTGCACAAAAGTTTGATATAGATCTCATAGAACAACTTTTTTTTATAGCTATAAGCATATGTGTGTATCAATATGTAAAAGAATAAAATTTAAATTATATTAAGATATTGCTATTTTTCAGGAAATATGATATCAAATAAATTTTTATATAATAATTAACAAAATACATTCATATTATTATATCTATCAGTCTTTTAAAATTGTAATATTTATTGTAACATAAGATGAAAAATAGCTTATAAATAACAATGCTATTTTTCAATCATGTAACTGAAACACATTCATATCTAATACAAATAGATCATAATGCTATGCAGAGTTATTTATTTGATGAGATCCCATCGGAACCTAAGTTGCTTGAAGAGATTCTCCTGCAGAGGGTTTCGATATTCACTCGGAGTAGATAAATAGTCACACTATAGATGGCATTATATAAGTATAAGAATAGATTTTAGAACTCGGAGACGGAGCACGGTTGATGGGTCTCATCAAGCAACTTCCGTGATGGGGTCCCATCAAGTAAATAACCCTGCTATGCAAGATGTTGTAAATACTATCTATGCATATCGTGTAAGAGTGTAACATTTTACTTATGTGTACAATGAATAGAATAGCATAAATTGAGCATTTTAATAATATCCCATGTGTTGAAAATGTCTCCCACTTTTTTTTTCTTTAAGTTTATTTCCAACATTTTTTAATGTGTATCGTTCAATTTAATTGAATATCATGTAAAGAAACTTTTTGAACAAAAGAAACTTTATTTATGCAAAGATGGATTTACATCCACCAAAAATTCAGTAGAATCTGCAATCCATAATCTTTTAAAATCATATTCTAATGTCCGAAACATTTGCTTCTTGGTGCAAAACTTTGATAAGTATTATAATGCACACCAGATTGGCTACAAATTTTTGGATCAATTTTATGAATTCCGTTTAAAATTACAAAATTATGCGATTTGCCTCAATGGAGGAAAAAATAGCTTGAGATACGTAATTGATTTGATCAAAGATTCATTTTGGTATCAAAATATGTATAGAATAAATTTTTTTTAAAGTTCCAAAGTATGTGTAAAAGCTCTAAGTCTTATGCAAAGCTTGGCATGATACTGGAGCTTAATTAAAAGGTTACTGTACATGTTTTTTTATTATTTGAGTGTATTCATGCATGAATTGGATTTCTCAAAAAAAATCTAAAAATCTAAAAATATTAGATTGAGTGTGATTGATTTTTTAAATTTA